ATGGGAGAATGTGAGTCAGCAGATGGCTGTGGTCCAGGTTCCCGTTCGGGCAGGAACCGTGTCATCAGCCTGCATTTTCCATGACATTGCCTGCATCTTGTTTGCCTTTGCTTTTTTTTAAATAGTGAAAATGATCAGCCACCTGTCCCCAAAAAAAGCAAAAATAAAAAATAAAAATCATGAGCATGCTAACACAATAAAATAAACTAATGTATATTATCATCATATAGATATATACACATATATGTGCACTTACTCAGTATGATTCTCAATTGGGTCAAAGACGAATAGGGTGTTCCTTGTACCAAAAAAATAAAATGGTTAAATTGCATAATTTTTTTTATTTAATATTGTGCACAAATGTCTCACCTATGTAAATATGTATTTTTATCCCCAGCATTTCGCTTACTTTATATTTTTAGTGTTGTTGACAAACAACAAGAGCACAAAAATGTCATTCGGTGCAACGACTAATTTATGGTAAAATACACACGGAAAAATCTTAGCCATTTCAAATTTATGTTTAGTTTATCTCCTACAAAAGATTTAAAACCTAAGAAGAAACTGTACTTTGTTTTGAAATTGCTGTGCTTTGTTTGTACTCTAATGCGTCTCGGGATTTTGTTCATTTGTATACAAGATGTTTTTGCTACACAATATATTCTATTTAAAACCCAATCAAACTCCATTTTCTATGAAGCAGGCCTGGATTCTCTTGCATTCACATGAAGAAAAAATGTAGAATTTTTTTTTTTTATAGTTATTTTAAGCAAATGTTTCTGTTATACTGTATGACGATCTTATGTTGCACTGAATGACATTCTCAAGTATCCTGTTTCGTCAGAATTTTCATGACTTCATTTGTTTTTAGTTCTCTGTTAAAAAGATCTGCCGTCAGACAATATTACACATGTTCTTACCTGTTGCAATGCCAGCAGCAGCAAAATCTAAAAGACAAGCCTTGCTATGGCGGACACCTGGAAGCGGTCACGTACGGCAGCCAATCAGAAGCTAAATACACGTCACTGTCGGCGAATGTCTGAGCGCAAACAAAATGTCTGCCGCGAAAACAAAATATCCGCCACTGAAATGCGTCTTCGCGGCTATTCCGAATTAATGCTTAACCAGCATATCACTTTATAAAGTTAGTTGTTTAGTCTAAATTAATAAATTCCACAGATGTAAGTGTTCAAATCAGAACCGTAAAAACACGTCCCCCTGTCAGCAAATGTGTATGAATATGTTGTGCCACAAGAAAAGTAATTACATATTCTAAACTACAAACATTTTATGATGTATAAGTAGGCCTATACTACTGCTATTTACACAAACTTTATACAAAAACCTTCACGCTCACAGCAACTAGAGATGCGCGGATCAGCTAAAATGTCACCCGAATCCGCGGCTTTAAACAAATCATCCACCCGCCTCCCGCCCACACCTATAATTTTCTCTGATATAGATATCCGCACCCGCTTCTTCGTTTTTAACAGCAGATTCAGTGACTTTAGAGCTAATCTGCGCATCTCTGATATTAAAATAATACGCATATCGTATGCTGCTTTAAATGAACATTTATTCATAAAACAAATTTTGTCTTTGGCCAGATTAACCAACATTTTCTCAATAAAATAAAGTCTTTAGCCTACTCCATTCAGACTTTAATGGGAATATCACCGTTTCTGTCGCTGCAACACATAAACACACAATGACTGGATAACGGCAAATTTATTAGCCCTATCTATTCAAATAATACAGAATATTATGCTTTCCAAATAGATTAAAAAAAAAAAAAAACAATTAAGAACTTTTTTTCCCAAAAAAAACTCATAGGCACTTATACAGACGATAGGTAACAGGCGATAGGCACTTCACTAAACCGCTCCCACACAGCACTTTTCTTTCCTTCCTTTTGTTTTGTTTTTAATTCTCCCTTTTTTAGTCTCTCTCGGATCTGTTTCGCCTCCATTTCTGCTTTAAGAAATGGACCCCCCTCCTCCCGCCACGCACGTATTTTTTTAAAACGAGAGTGCAAATTAGCGACTGTCTGCCTGATGAAAAATGCATTTAAAACATGTTCGTATTTTAGAGAATGTAGTTGATATTTGCATCATTAATGATTGATCTCATCCACCCGCGACCCACCCGCAATTAATTAAAATGTATTTTTTTATTACCCGACCCTCCCAACCCACGGATTATCCGCAGCGCCCGCGGATATAACCGCCATCCTCGCATCTCTAACAGCAACACAACACACATATTAACTAAAAACAGAACAACATGCTAATACAAAACAAACTACTCCGGCGAGTCATCACATCTCGTATAGCTACACGAAGGGACTGCGCTATTTGCATTGTCTCTAATAGAAGAAACGTTGCATTCGTCGTCAAAAGAGAACTGAAGGCATTCCGCACAAAGAAGATGTTCTTCAATAGCTTCCTCTTTGTCCATTAATGACGTTATATTCCGTTGTTTTAAATAGTCCACCAGAGTACAGTGTCCGACAGTCAATGTATAATCTGCGCCGTCATCATTTTTCACTTTTAAAGTTCCGCGTAATACTTTTGAAAATGCCCCTGATTTCTGCAGCATCCTGCAGCTGTGGCATCGTGCAAAACTGCTCTGGCTGTCCCAACTATCCTGCCGGCTTCCACACAGGGCACACTTCAGGCTTGCCTTAATCTCAGCTCCACATATGGAAGCCTTCACTGTCACAACCGATTCCTCTCCTTGTATACCCTCTGCCTCTCCCACATCCAAATCGCAGATTTTCTCAATTTTACTTTCTAAGGTTGTTGTTACTTCGACTTTCCCTTCAAAAACTATAGTTGAAAGCTCCGTAAAGACGTAAGATGAGTCAACCTCCACGTCATGGATCAGTCTCTCCCAAACGCAAAGACAGATCTGGGCAGTTCCATCAAAGACTGTACATCTCTTCACCTCTTTGTCGCTGCCTCTAACAGTTACAGTTTTCGCCAAGGACGCTGCCACGACCTTGGCTTTCACCAAAGGCACCTATAGGAATGAACACCAGTCATTACTTTTCTAAACTTCTCATCCAGAAATAGCGAAATTTTACAAAAGGTGTACTTATTCTTAAACGCACCTTCCTGCCTGCCGGCAGAGCTGTGACATCAACCAGTGTCTGCCTAACGGGTGCTGCAGGTTTCATTCATTAATGCATACTCAGTAACAACCATGTTACTGCTCTGTAAAGCAATACTCACTCAAAGCCTTTCTGACATGTGTCAGGCGTATTGCCGTGCCATTATCTGAAGCTTGGCTGAACAGCGCATGCTTTCTCTGACTGAAGATGGTCACATCGTGAAATTCTTCACGTCCAGTCTGTAGTACTGCATTAAAAAAAACCTCTGTCTTTAGTTGTAAATTGTAATGCTGAGACAGAGTGGATGTAGCCACTGACTACGTCTGTGTCCATCCTCATTTTCTTCGCTGGAGTCTCCATGTCGAAAAAGCAATTAGAAAAACATGCAAAACACCTCAACATATACAGTATACTCCTGGGACATACCATTAACCTCCCCTTGTCGAGCTTTACAATACAGTGGGTCTTTCATCTTCAGTTAGTTTTGACGGCAACATAACCTACCAAAAAAGGTTAAGTGGCAGTTTGGGCGGAACTTAAAGCTCTCTCCCATCTATGACGTCATAAGCGGGATGTGGGCGTATCCTTTGTTCTGATTGGTTGGGGGGTTTGGTTATCATACATGCTTATGCCACGTGTTGCCGATAGGGGGACATATGGTTTGGGGGGGTGTTAAACTTTAATATAATAAAAATACATTACATGTATTTTATTAATGTGTTATTTTTAATTACGTTTTAAGGAATAATAAAACATATAGCAGGATGAACGTAAGCTAGGACATACATGTCCTGCGGGGTTCCGTCCGACCGCAGTAGACGAGCGCCCTGGCGTATTTTAAAAGAAGCCCCAAAATGTTTTAAGCAAGAAAAACTTTAGTGTTACATTTTAAAAGAAAGAAAGAAAAGCAGGCGGAATTTAAACAAGTAGAGACATGCCCGAGTGAAACACCGTATTTTAAGCACAAACGACACAAGTCCCAAACTTTAACTTTTAAACTAGACATGCCTGAGCGAAACAAGCACAAAAGAGCAAATGCGAAACAAGCACAAACATTTTAGCACAAGTTTTTTAAAAACGAGAAAAGCCGTAATCAGTTTAACACTAGAATTTCTGGAAAAATGAGGCTCTCCTCACGAGGAGCCCCCCCCCTTACTCCCCACACAAGCTGCCCGCCCCCTCTCCAGCACCATTAACACCTTTTTGTTTTGCAAATGAATCACAGTCACTCAGTCAAAGTCACCCCCCAGCCTGAAGTCACTTCTTCAGCTCAGATCTGCACTAAAGAGTTTATCTAGCGGTGTGTTGTAAGGAATCATATACATGCTTTGATACAGCATAATTTGAAATATATTGGAACCCCCAAATCTACTAGCCCTACTATTCCCCTAGCATTTCCACCCATCTGTTATCTTGGGGTGTGGCTGGTCGGGTCGGCGCCGACCCATGTCCTAAATCGGCCTCCCTCAACCCTCAAAACATTTTTTTATCATCCAGTTTGTTTCCTTACCTCTTGGTTACCTTGTTAGGCTTCCTTATCCATGAAAAGATTTTAAAATTTGGTTTTAAAATTTTTGGTGTGGCCCTCTGAAGACGAGACGTATGATGTCAATAGAACGGCCCAGTCCAAAAAAATGGTAAAATAAACCTCAGGAGAATTATATAAATAAATCAAAGGTTTATATGTTACCTGACTATTACTGAGGGGTATTAGAACACAACTGAGAAAACAAAAAATTACAATTTTTTATTTTAATAATATTACTATCAATATCAATATTATTAATATTAGTAACATCTGTGGTGTTAGGGTCGGTTTTGACCCATTTATATTTACTTCAAGAAGTAGGCAAAAAAAGTAATTTTTTTTCCAAAAGTTGAGCTTTAATTCAAATCACAAAGACAAAGCCAAACAAGTAAGACAAAATAAAATACAAAATAAATTACAAAATGCAGATCAAACAAACAATCAAACCAATAGAATTAGTAGTTTACACTATGTGCAAGTAGGACAGTAAGTGACATTTTTAGTGTGCTCTTTGCAAATATATTTCTGGCATTTGACACACATTGCATTGGTTTTTCTGTCCTTGCTGCTTGGGCAGACCTGACATCGCTTTCTTTTGGAATCCACAGGCCTCTCTGGGTCTGTGACTGCGGCAGGGCTGGCTGTGGCAGGGCTGGCTGAGGAGGATGCTGGTGTTGAAGCTCTTCGTCTTCCTGCTGACGTGGATGGAGTGCTTGCCGAGGTCTGCAGCTGTCTGACCACAGCTGCAGCGGCTGGGTCTTGGGGCACCCGTTCCCTTTTTTCAATGTGTCCCTTTATAAGAGAATCCCCTAGTTCTTTGAGAAACATTCTTCGCCTTTGATTCTTGCTTGCATTCCACCCATGGTGGATTTGGGTCCACAACACAAATGCGTTGTAGGCTGACACATCCAGGATATTGTAGAACAATACCACTGGCCATCTCCTGGTCATGTGCTGGCATGTATAGGTGGCAGTCAGCTTGTCCAGGCTGTCCACCCCTCCTTTGTTTTTATTGTAATCCAAAATAATGATGGGGTTTTTTTTTGGACAATATGACACAATAGTGGTTGTGTCTGTAAAGGCAGATTTTGAAGACAGTGGTGCCCTGTTCTTCAAATTCACAATTTCAACGGGCAGCTCAGGTTTATTTTTTTTGATAGTGCCCACCATGGTGAGCTTTCGCCTCATAAGTTCCTGTCCAAGATCAAAACTTGTAAAAAAATTGTCACATGTAATATTGTGTCCGCGCAGTCCAGTTGTCAAGTCGAGGACTACACGTCTTCCCTGGTTCCTCTCAGGGATGCCACTTTCAGGTTTTCCTGTGTAAATTTGCATGTTCCAAGCATAGCTTGTTCTTGCATCACAGGCTGCCCAGATTTTTATTCCGTATTTGGCTGGCTTATTGGGCATGTATTGCCAGAAAGGGCATCTTCCCCAGAAAGGCACAAGACGCTCGTCTATGGTAACCTCTGGCCCTGGATTGAACATCAAAGGCAGGCGCTGCACCCATCTCTCCCAGACATCCCTTATGGGAGCAAGCTTGTCACGTCCTGCTCTCATGTCTCGGTTGTCAAACCTGAGGACTCTCGAGATCATGTGGAAGGTCTTCAGTGACATCGTGGCCCGAAAAATATTTCTACCTGTTGCTGTGTCCCAGAGACTGGCTGTGGCCTCATTGCTGGATCGGTATACTCCAGCAAGAAGAAGAATACCAATATAAGCATCCAGGAATCCTTCGTCAAAGTCAATCCATGTGTCTCCGTAGACTTTTTGTCCTTCTAGGTTTGTCATGTCAAGTATTATTTTTTTCAGCGATGATGGCAGGAACTGTTCAAAACTTGTTTTGATGTCACTTATCCTTGTTATGGCAAACCTTGTGACCCCAGGAGTCATTTTGATGATATTTTCAGCAACTGCCCTACCAGCACCCCTGCGAGTCTCGTCAGGTGGTACTAACCTCCAGGAGATGCTGCCATTCTTGGACTGTAGTACTTCAGCTGGTGGGGAAACAGCTTCAGAGGTGATCTCCTCCTCAGACTCTGTGTCTGTGTCTTCTGACTGACACTCCACAATGTCTTCCTCCTCTGACTCCACCTCATCAGAGTCACTGTGCCACTCTGTAACTTCTCCTTCAGCTAAAATATGATCCATAGCTTGGAGTGCTGTGAATTTGGCCATTTTTACCTCTGCAAATTACAGGTGCTTAATTAATTTTTTATTTTTTCTTTAAATGGAAGTTTCAGAAAAAATGAAAGCCTTGATGCAGTAAACAAAATGTATGTGGGACTTTTATGCATTAAAACTTGAAAACGGGTCGGTGCCGACCCTAGGGTAATAGTAGGGCTAGGGTAACTGTGGTGTCAATTACACAAATATGTGATATAACAAATACATATACTTGATGTATGTTCTTTACACAACTATATGTGTAAATTTATGATCAAATAAATGTTAGGTTTTGCGAAAATTTTATACACATGCATGCATGTACATTTTTGATATAAACACTTCATATGGTACATGGGAAAAAGTTGCATTATTGAGTTATGAGTGCAAGCTGCCAGAAATTTAGACACAGAATGTGTAAATTTCAAGTATCAGATGGTATAAAGATAAAGAGCATATGTGTGTGTGTGTATGAAAGAGAGACAGAGAGAGTCGGTGTCATTCAAGTGGAAGATACACATTTATTATATAAAATAAGCATATACGCAAAAGGTACAAAACCATTTCTAGCCACTAACAGTTGTCACACAGCCAAGGACCCTCCTTCCTACACTTGCGACAGGTGTACCTGTCACACTGCACACATCTCTCTGTGCTGTGGTTCCTATTACAGTGACTGAGCACCTGACACTGAGTCTTCTTTCCAGCGGCAAGCTGAGGAACAGAAGCTTGTCTGAGTTGTATTTTCATTTCTTTTTCAATCTGTTTTTCTTGCATAAAATGACGCCGAAGTTCCTCTGCTAAGTGGGCCATGAACACTCGTCTTTTCTCTGTGGATCCTGTACACGCCTTGTAGAGAATGTGCGCGTTCATCGCTGCCAGGTCCAGAATGTTGTAGAACACGGCAACTGGCCACCGGCGTGTTCCTGTTCGCACCGTGTAGGCACGCACCTTCTGGTCCATGATGTTGACGCCACACTAAAAAAATAGAGACTTGTGTTACATTTTGAATCAGTTGACATGTATAGTACATATAAAAAAATTAAGTACATTCACATACCTTCATACAGTTGTAGTCTGTGACCGTGTTTGGCAAGGATCGCAAGAAAAAAACAATCTCCACGTTTCGGTGCATGGTGCTCAGAATGCAGACAGACTTCTTCTTTTTGGGTGCATACACTGTCAGAATAACAGGGCCTGTTCTGAACACTTGTGTGGAGAATTTATTGAGTCCAGACACATCTTTAGCCTGAGGTGGAAGTTCCCGTCGTATCTTATTTATGGTGCCAAGCAGAGTCGTGTTGCGCTTCAGTAGTTTATTAGCTAGAGACAGAGATGTGAAGAAGTTGTCAGTTGTAACAGTTCTGCCCTTGTCCAGATATGGTTCCATGAGCTTTGTGACGACATTCTCAGAAAGTCTTTCTCCTTTGGGACGACTGGGATCCTTTCCTAAGTAAGGACTAGCATTGCACATGTACTTGGTCTCCAAATCAGCTGCAATCCAAAACTTGATACCAAATTTATCAGGCTTTGTAGCGATGTATTGCAAGAAAGGATAACGGACCTTGGTCGGAAATAGCTGCTCGTCGACAGTAAGATGTTGTCCTGGGTTGTAACTTGAAATACAGTTACAGACGAAACGTTGCCAGATGTCTGAGATTGCTGCAAATCTGTCGGTTTTTGCTCGTTCTGCACGGGTGTCCTTGTTATCAAAGTGCAAATATCTCATAATTGCATGGTAGCGGTCACGGGGCATTGTATTCTTGATTGCCGGCACCAGAAATAATTCAGACCAGGCATCAGCCACTGCACCAACTGGGCTTGTCGTTGCTTTCGTGAACAAAATTGATATGAATGCCATCAGCTCACAGAGAGAAAGGGTCCAGCTGGGGTCTGTTCTGCAGCCTTCATGGATCGTGCAGTCCTTGATGGTCATCAGCATCCCTATGTCGATCAAACACAGAAAACTCTGCAGTCGGCTTGTGATTCTACGCTGTAGGAAGATAAATAAATAAAGGTGAATACACACAATAAATGTCATTCTAAATTGTTTTTATATAAAGAACAAGAAAAAACATAATCACAGGAACTTTGCATGATACCTTGACGTGCTTTGTAGGCCCTGCTGTCTCACTGAAGGAAAAACATGCAGAGGGATCACTGGCAGGGAGACGTCCAACATCTTCTTTTTCCCCAAACAGTGCCATCTTTAGCCTTCATGCTAAGTGCAGCTGCGTTGTCCTTTTGAGTTACCACACGTT